TCTCAGAGGCCTTCGGTAATCCAGGAATTACTAGTCGGTTACAATGCTAAACCTATAGGGGCGGGTTTGGGTCGTGACACCAGGATTAACATCACTAGCACCATCACCACCTCTACGTACATCAATCTTAGACAAACTCAGACGACCTCTGCGTTCATGAATAACCGAACCACTTTCCCCAAAACCTCCTAACAACAAATCTCTTCGCTTCTCCGGTAAACCGATAAATACAGTCCGTGTCAGAATCGGAATGGCCTTGGTTGAAGCACAGTGCCAAACATCAACATTATCATTAGTATATTTTTTAAACAACACAACAATAGTGGGGGCCCTCATTTGCAAATCATCTTGCATGTTGTCACTCGTAAAATACTTCAAATACCCCTTCATTTTACAATACGTAATCCCCCTTTTAATATTCGAATTTTCAAGTCAACACTTCACCATCCATGGCACCTGTTTGTCATTAATTGAACAATAACCATTTCCATAATAAACTAACTCGCATTGACAATCCATGGAGAAAATAAAATATGTCTGCAGGCTGTCATTACCCATCTAACCTCCGATCATACACATTTACTCTGACCAACCCACTGGCATTAGATGCACAAAGGGGGGAATATTTTATCAATATTTTATCAACCTTAATACTCTTTTGTTTGTATCTTAATCTCAACTGAGAAAATAAATTAGACAAAGCAAGTTCAAATGACATCAAATACTCGACAGTCCCTACCGAATTAATGAAAAATTTAGTAGGTTGCCAGAGAGACTTCCATGTATTTGTTATAAAAAATATACTAATGATAATGTTGATGTTTGGCACTGTGCTTCAACCAAGGCCATTCCGATTCTGACACGGACTATGTCTGTCAGTTTACTGGAGAGTACTTTTGGTTCCTTTACCAGAGAGTATTTCTGATACGGACTATGTTGTGACTACTTTTGATTTTTTTACCGGATAGTGCGATACACGTGTCGCGTTTCAGGTGGTTTGCGTGGTTATAAAGTAAAGATTCTTGCAGAATGATTGACATAAAGCAAAGGCAGGAAAATGATTATGTTTTTGAATTATTTTGAATGGGAAATCTTTGTCCTTATACGCGGGCCACTTTGGCTATTTATTTGATACCAGAAAACATTTGATGGCAGAGAGGAATATGCTTTTATAGTGTGATAGCTATTGTGGTGAAGTTGTTTTCTAGTACATTGTTTCGTCTCTCCTTTTTTGTCTTTCTTTTTTGTTGATTATATTAGTATATAATGTTGTACTCGTTAGAAGAGTATCTCGAGAATTACGAACAGTTCACTCAAATGCGTGTAGATCGTTTTTTGACGTGGCAAATAGGACTTTGGGAATAGAGCCGGCGGTCAGCTCCGGCGAAGTTTGTTCCGGTGTACGAGGAGTAAAGGGAAAAAATATCAAAGTTAAGGTGTCTGAACAAAAGGGTTAGCAGAGGTAAGAGAATCTTCAGAATTTGTAGGATAAAAGATTTGGAGTGTTTTATAAAAAATGGAAGGAGTAGTAAGCAGCCAATATCGGACTTCCCTTGCGTACTGGAGGTCAAGGACACCGGTGGCCAATGGATATAAGCGTAGTTACTGTGGTTGTGCACCTTTTAAGGCGGTGTATATACACAGATGGTACGTACAGAATATTCTCCGATATATTAAGAAGACTAAGAGGGGAGTAAGGAAGTTACAACTGTACAGTGAACAATTAAGGGACGTTAAATTTGATAATAAATGTGTAGCGAGATTGCTGAATGGTATTGAGTTGGGTAATAAGAGATGTGACCGTCAATCAGATAAGATCGTGGTTAATGGTATAAAATTAACTGGGAATGTTCAATTGGGACAAGATGCTAAAGACAAAGCTGTGGTCCATCACGTATTGTTTTTTGTCATAAGTGATAATAGTCCATCAGATTCTGTTCCCACACCTGACAAGATATTTATTAGAGTTGGTGAGGGTAATCCCGAGACCTGGATTGTTGATCCTGACCAGTCTGACCGGTTTCGGATGCTAAAGAAAATGAGATTCAAGCTCGTTGGTAGAAAGGACAGAGGGTATGTTCCTCACGAAATAGAAGTTGTGGACCGGTTCTTCCCAGTTGATGTTTAGACAGACCACAAAGATACGCTGTTGGGAAATGTTTGAAGTATTCAGAAGGGGGTTATATATTTAGTGGCTGCTATTGTTAGTGGAAAAGAATGCAAAATTATGTTAAGGAGTCCAATGTACTTTAAAATTGTTTATAATTGTAATTTATGTATTTTTATTTGTAATGTTCAGGTGAATGGAGGTGGACGATATAAGAACTTGTATTGTTGAAAGTGTTTTAGCAAGTGATTTCAGTTGTATTGAACTTGCTTTGCCTAATTTATTTTCTCAGTTGAGGTTGATATACAAACAAAAGAGTATTAAGGTTGATAAAATATTTCTCCCTTTACGCACCGAATGCCTGTGGGTTGGTTAGAGTAAATGTGTATGATCGGAGGTTAGATGGTGTGAGTGGTGTGTCAGAGTAATCCCCCTTTTAATATTCGAATTTTCAAATCGATATTTCACCATCCATGGCACCTGTTTGTCGTTAATTGAACAATAACCATTCCTATAATAGACTAACTCGCATCGACAATCCACAGGGAAAATAAAATGCGCCTGCAGACGGTCATTACCATCTAACCTCCGATCATACACATTTACTCTGACCAACCCACTGGCATTGGATGCGCAAAAAGGGGAATATTTTATCAATATTTTAATGTAAGAAATAATGTATAGAGAAAGAGAGAGAATAAATTGTATGTATTATTATTGATTGATATATTGATATCTATTACAATGATTCATGATTCCTATATATAGAAGAGGGTGAGTGTGTAGTAGGTGAGGAGTAGGTGAAGTGGAGGTGGTAGTGGTGTAGTGGGTTTAGTGGAGTAGGTGAGGTGGTAGTGGTGTAGTGGGTTAGGTTTAGTGGAGTAGGTTTAAGTGGGTGAAGTAGGTGATAGGTTGGAGTAGGTTTAAGTATGTGTTCATATATTGCTTTCCACTATGTTTGCTCACTGTGAATCACTCCCAACTTCCACGAAACCATCATTTGTTATAATCTTTATTCGTGAGAATTAATCTCTTTTGTGCCTTCTTTTGTAACACAGTCAAAGGAATAATGCTCACATGTCACCTGTAGTATCACACCCCAATTTTCAAAAGATTAATTAGGGAGAAACTAATTAACCTAAGCGCGAATAGTTGGTAGAAAACCATTTTCATTCCTCTTGTTTAACCAATCAAATGCTTAAAACGCCAAGCTACCTCCCATAAGATAACATAAATTTAAATACTGATAGGAAATATTAAATCTCATTTATTAACTGATAAGATTTACAAATTCAGATTTAATTACAATGCAATAATCATAAGGGCCATAGCCCCAAATTAAACGTAGGCCTACTGATCTTTGGTCCACAAAATTGGAATCCCCTGCCCTAGTCAACGCACCAGTCCACAGTTCGTACCTGAAATGTAGGGGTTGAGCAAAAGAACGTGGTCACCACAATCTCTATAACCAAGTGCATGCATGCTATGATAGGTATATGCAACAATTATCATCAATTCTATCAAAATGGACCAAATCAACACACAACGCATCAATATGGACCACCGATTGATCGGCCAATCGTCCTCCCGGACCTAGGTTTTAAATAACAGTTGCGGCTACCGTAACAGTATCGGTAGTATTGACGCGGTTGCGGTGTGTAATGGCTGTAGCATAACGATAGTGGCAACTAGAGCCGTAATTTTTGAATTCTTTACACAACTTTAGGAAAATAAAACAATACACATTTTTATTTCAGAATCACATTTAGTGAGGTTCAAAATATTGTTTGATGTGTTTTGTTTAGTTTTTAAATATAATCCAATGTATGTACTAATTTTTATACTAGTTTGAAGTCGTTATGGATATTTTTCCTATTATTTTATGTATTTAATTTTCTTTACTTTACTAAATTATACTTATGGATAAGTTTTCACTTGCTAAGGGGGAAAAAAAATGAAGTATGTTATAATATTAAAAATGATAGTCTCATAAATATAAGTTCATAATACAAAATATTGACAAACTAATGCAGAAGTAAAATACATGACATAAAGCAAATAGATATAAGTTAATATTCAAATATTCAAGTAAGAAAGTTGTGAAAGTAATAACATTGTACTCTGATTATGTTCTTTAGTTGTAGAAGTTTAGACCCAATAGCAAGAGATTTATTTATCATAACAAAAGAGTGGGGAAAGAGAGAATTCACAGAAATGAAAAGTCCACCCATCTTAGTATAGCATATGTAGTCAATTGTTGAGTAAATATTGGTTTAGAGACACCATTCAATTGTCAAATGGGTAAAGTACGTCTGCTTATGTTTCATTTCTTTTATGACAGTGGCGATACAGATTCTGTAATTCCAGTTACATCCACCCGGTACAGTATAAATGCTCTCAAGCTTCCAACTGTTAGCCCTTGGCAAGCTTGGTATGATGATGGGCAGGTACTAAGTTCCACTTTTTTCAGGTTCTTCTTATTTTATTTTTTTTTGGCATCAAATTTTCTGTTTATCCAGTTATTATAGATGAAAAGAATAACAGGCATGCTCACCCAATTAATTTGTAAAATATATGCTTAAAATATGTTTTATGAATAAAAATTATTATCCCTAAAATATGCATTTCTTGTTACTTTTATCCTCCAACTTTTAACCTTCTCAATTTTTTCCCTAAAGTTTTCAATGTGAGTCTAATTGGTTCAATTTCAAACAGATTATCTAAATAATTAACAGATTGATAATAAAATGCTATGTGTTTTGTATCACTTTGGCCCCAAAAGTTTTCAATTTTGCTGATGAAGTAGAAGAAACATAGTCTTACAATGTTTATAAATGAAATGGACAAAATTTTAATCATCTAAAACACATTTATGTTTCTTAAAGTATGCGTTTCATGTCACTTTGCTCCCAAAAGTTTTCAATTTTGCTAATGAATAAGATGAAATATAAGAAAGCAATTTTATGTTCCTATCGAATATCAAATTGTCAAACTCCTCAAGCCTCTGCCATCGTTTCATTCCAAAGTAGAGAAGGAAACAACCAAAAGTCCATGCTCGTTTGATCAAAACCTTCAAACATCAAGGTAGTAAAAGTTTCAAGGATTGCTTCAATGGTTGGTTGTGCAAAATTGATCCTTGCAATGAAATTCAATATGTGCTTCATGTGAACTAGACCATTATTGAACTTATATTTTACCTCCCGTGCTAGCTTCATGTTGTAATTTCTCCTTGTAATATTTGCATATGAGTTGGTGTAAAGACGAAACATAATCTTACAGTGTTTAGAAACGAAATGGAAATTCTAAAATTTTCGGAGCCAAAGCGACATAACACATTTTAGGGACCATATATGAATTTTAGTATTATTCCATTGATGATTTAGATGGTTGTTTGAAACTGGGCCAATTTGAATCAAATTGGATGGAAACCTTTGGAGACAGAAATTGATAAAATTGAAACTTGGTTGACCAAATTGATTCGAAATGCATGCTTTTAGGATTATACGTGTATTTTATACCGTGTACTATTTATTGGTTGACATTGTAGCATATTAGCAGTGATCATACGAAGTTAATATGATATATTGAACAGGTGGGAGGCTGGACACAGGGGTATGCGGGGCTCACATTCGTTACAGTAAGAGGAGCAGGTCATGAAGTACCCCTGCATAAACCCAAACAAGCCTTTACACTCTTCAAATCCTTCTTGTCAGGAAACTCAATGCCAGCACTTGAGCAAGTCAGTGACTCTTGAGAATTTTTATTCCACCAATTGGTGCTTCTTTCTTGAATTGCAAGAAAGCAGTTTGTTGTAGAAGTGCAATGCTGTCAAGGAGTGACTTTTAATTCCAACTGACATTGTTTGGACACCTTGAATGACTTTCTATACTCAATAAAAGCTTAATTGGTGTTGGTTGCAAAACTAGTTTCTTGTGCAGTGTTTTATTTTTGGTAAATTTGTGATTTTTATTTTTTAGTCTTTTATTTTCTTGGGCAAGAGTTTTATGGCTTTTTTTCTTTTTTCCTTTCGATTGAAGGCTAGTTGGACTTAATTCTGTCAATATGATGTGAGATTTTGATGCAGAATGTGCGAGCACCTTTAAAATTTTTGTTAGTGTTTATTATTTAGTATTTTATTTTATTTTTAATTAGAATTTTGTTAGGAGTTTTATTAATATTATTAGGGATTCAATTTTCTTTTTCCATTAGGTTTAAGTTTAATTTAAGGTTTAAATTAAACCTTAAATTAAACTTAAACCATTATTCTTCATTGCTAGTGCATTGTCGAAGATTTAACCATCTCTACAGCCTTTGAAAGTTAGCCTGTTGCATCTCGTTGTTGCACTAATCGCGTTCCTAGTTTGGCACGCAAGGATTGTCATCGAGTACACTATTTTCCTCGTGTCATCACTTCTATAGTCACCATTTGAGAGTTCGAGCTTCAAACATTGTCACGTTTCGTTTTTAAAAGATAGTGAGAGTTCGAGTTTAAAACATTGTCACGTTTCGTTTTTAAAAGATTAACTAGACGTAAACCAATCAATCTAAACGGAATGTCTCTCACATTAATAATCATTTAAATAATAAGATATAATGATTTATTTTGAAAATACTATTAGTTGACAGGGGAAACTATACCCAGTGGTGTTTAGGACAATTATTTATCAGACAATGATAAGTAATTTTGAATTTTAACACAAATAAAAACACCAATTTTAATTACAATCTCATGGAAATACACTCTCTTTTCTATTACATTTTTTTTTTCTCATGTTTTCTGTGTCTTCGTTTCTCTCTATCTCTTCTTCTCTCTCTTTCTTCTCTTTTAGTTTAACATGCAAATTCAAATTTTATATAATTAGTACTGTTAAAAAAATATTAATCTGTAAAATTTAATGTTTAGGACAATTATTTATCAGACAATGATAAGTAATTTTGAATTTTAACACAAATAAAAACACCAATTTTAATTACAATCTCATGGAAATACACTCTCTTTTCTATTACATTTTTTTTTTCTCATGTTTTCTGTGTCTTCGTTTCTCTCTATCTCTTCTTCTCTCTTTCTTCTCTTTTAGTTTAACATGCAAATTCAAATTTTATATAATTAGTACTGTTAAAAAAATATTAATCATATCTTTAAAATGAGATTAATATTAAATATTAATTTAAAAGAGTAAGGGATGCCTTATCTATCTGTTATCAGTAGTGGTTCTCATTCCGCTATTTCTTCCTATGAATAGGGTGAAGGATGACCTATCATTTAAATTTTTAAATATGTGATTGAGATATAAAATTATAAGGTAGAGAAGGGAGGTTATAAGTAGGTCACGTAGCAGAGTTGAGCCAATTTGGTCAAAGGAAAATCGATGAAAATTGGAGACGTGATGATTGGTGGAGGGTGAGACTAGCTAGGGTTAGTGGGGAAACCATTATCGTGCTCTCTTTAAAAAGGATTGGTTGACAAATCTAAAGATCAACCTGTAATCGTTGGCCTTCTGTCTGTAAAACTATTGGGAATGTGTATTCTACGCTCGAACTTCACTTCTTGTGCTCGAGCGGTAATCATTTTTGTATCCAGACTCGAGCCTCACTTCTCGCGCTTGAACAGACTGTGCGTATATCAGTCCGTAAAAATCACTTTTTATATAACTTTTTCATCTCTCTCTCTCTCACTTATATATACTTATTTGAAAAGGAGGACCATTTATAAACTTGACAATAATGACTCATTTTATATCATTAAATCCCGTGCACAGTAATGCTAGTTAGAAATTATGAGAAATGACGGAAAAAAAAAAAAAACATTCCTATTTTAGCTATCTCATTTCTCACATAAAGTAATGATATTTAGTGAGAAACAAGTTAATTGATGATAAACTATTTTATAACTCAAATCCATTTTACATTCTATACTTTTGAAAAGTATCACCAATCCCTTAATTTTTTTTACATTCTATACTTTTGAAAAGTATCACCAATCCCTTAAATTTTTTTAAAAAAATTTAGAATGAAGCCATCGTTAAAAACTTGATTTGATTTGGGATGTTTCAATAATTTTTCATCAAATTTAACAAAAAAAATTATTTGGTGAAAAAATTTGAATGCTCTTATTCTCTCTTAAAAATTTTACCAAATCTTTTTTAAAATTTCAATCTTCCGAAGGCTCCTTTTAGGGAAAATTAGGAAGAGGTCCTCCGCATATGTTCATGTAAGAGTTTAAGAACAATAAAAATTAGTTTGGTAGCTAAGGTCCCTAAAATTTTAAATTTTAGAAAGATAAGGACAAACTTTGACATACATGGACTAAAATGTCCTTTGAATCCTAGAAATCCTAATTTTTTATCTAATTTTTCACTAGCCATTTGCCCTCTCTCTCTCTGTCTCTTCATGACCTATCTTTGGTATTACTTCTATTGAATTTCCTGCGTCATCACCACATTCACTGTCATTCATTCATTCATTTTTTTTTTCTTTTCTCAATCATGTCTACCGATGCTCCGTCATCTACCACCATCACCTAACCACTATTGTTTACCAATAGCCTCTCTCTCCAATCTATGTATAGATATAGTATGTTTTACTTTCTCTCCAGTTAATTTGTTTCATTATCGCCAATTTGTGCACAAATACAATGTATGAGTTTTAAATCTCTTTTTTCTTCTCTTTCCCCCCCTCTCTCTCTCTCTTCCTATTATTTTCTACGTCTATGTGTTTTTCTCTATGTTGAATCATGAAATTTCCTTGCCTCTATTTTTGTCTATGTTGAAATTTTCTCTAGAGTATTGCTACGGGTCAGGAAAGGTTTATCAGGAAATGGATCATGAATGAGGTGGCATTGACCAACTCATTTTGGTGGAGCTCCCATGTGTTATTAAAAAAATTAAAAATTAAAAATAAGAGAAGTTGGAAAGACTAGAAAGAAAGTTGAATGCCTTCTATATATCTCTTGATGAGCGCTGACCCTTTTCACTCAATTTAAAATTATTCACACTCATTAAAAAATATTTTAATTTTGTTAAGATTTTAAATATTTTAATATTTAAATATGTTACGATTTTTTTAATTTTTTAATTTTTTGAATATTTTTAAATATTTTAATTTCAAAATATTAGGATTTTAATTTTTTAAAATTTTAAATATTTTATAAAAATAAATTCAAACTCTATTTTATAAAAATATTTTTAAATATTTTAATTTTTTTGTTATGTATTTGGTTACGATTTGAGTGTAGAGTTGTGAAAGTAGCATGTTGAGGACTTAATGGAGTATTGAATTTGTTTTGGGGTGATTCTACTTACACCACTATTTAATCTCTTTACACCCTTTATCCACTAAAAAAAATATAATTATCATTATACCCCCAATATATTACCAAAACTAACTATAAATTAACTACTTCATTTCTTTACACCATTAATTTTGGTAACACTGTGCTAAACAATTTACATTATTCCGATGTTATTTGGTATGACAAGTTTTCTTGAAATATGTTTTGTTGCTCTAAACTTGGACCCAATATTTCAGATTCCTGCCATATAAGAAGCAATTAGACAATCCAACTATAAATAAATCATATAACTATAAAGTTAATGAATAAAATAAATTTCTTACATTCACTTGAATACTCTCTTGTGTACCAAGATCAACAAGTCCTATATTTGAAGATGCACCAAACTCGGATTGCTGCAAAATATAAAATTTGAAAGTTAACAAAATAATAGTTTTTTTTTTAATAGTAAATTAACTCATTCAAATAATTTTCACACCTCTACACTTCCTCGGATGTTGATGGTCTTTTTCTTGGCATTTGCTCCTTTTTTCTTCTTGTTAACAACTTTTTCAACCATGGATTGTTTCCTTTTACATGGTGGCCTCCCCTTTTGACGTAAACCGACTGGATCAAGTATGATTCTACTCTCCTTTGACTTCGAAACACCATCTCCATGAGTGGTTGAATTATGATGATTACTCACAAAACTAGACTTATTATTTCCATAATCAATTTCAACTTCTTCTTTCAATTTCCCTTTTAGTTCAAGTAACTGTTCGACCACCATATCACACCTATTTTCACAATCAGTTGCCAAATCAGCCACATCATTGAAGACATTAAACATTTTATTATACCGACGTGTTTCAGGCAACATTGAAGAGTTGTTATAATTGATGATCACTTTACTATGGCACCTTTTCACATTTTTGTTCCATCTTCTTAAAATGTACTTGTCTGGTATCTCATGAACCCTTTCTTTCATTAATACCACAATTTGATGCCTGCACACTATTCCCCTAAACTCGAACAGTCGACAACTACAATTTGTGTCAAAGTTTTCCTTATCAAAATAGACAATGAAAGTTGCTAATCGAAGGTTCTCTCCAAATGGAACATCTTCACTCACTTCATATACAGAAAAATCAGGACCTTGTGTATACAAAGATAAATTGCAATGAAGCTGTCCTACAACCTCTTGTTGGAACTCCTTAAATTTTGCAATAGTGTAAGCTTTTTGAAATTGCTTCTCAAATGGATACTGAGTTATACATGGGATGTATGAGTTGAGAGAATTAAATTCTTCACCATTTTCATTTTCCACCTTCTTCGCCAAAGCATTCTCATATTGCTCCACAAATTGTTTCAAAGTGGTTTTTGAGTTGATGTACCCATCAAAGAATGCGTGCATGCTTTCACTTCGTTGTGTGGTTGACATTCCCGCCCAAAAAATATCTTTGACAAATGCAGGTACCCATTGATGTCTATCCTCAAACAATCCAAATAACCATTCATTGCCTTCAAGTTGATAATTCTCTATCAATTTGTTCCAATTTTCTTCAAACTCCTTTTTTGTTAAGGAATCATAAACTGCATTCTTTATACCAAATTTTATTGCCTCATATTCTTTGTATCCTCTCAATTTTTCAAGTAATTTTTTCAAGATATGCCACAAACACCATCGATGACGCACATTAGGGAAAACAATTTGTATAGCATTTTTCATGGCTTTATCTTAATCTGTAATAATAGCATTTGGAGGACATCCAGACATGCATGCAAGCCAAGACTTAAACAACCATGTAAATGTTTCTGTATTTTCATGTGAAATGAGTCCACAACCTAACAATGTCGACTGTCCATGATGGTTGACCCCAATAAATGGGGCAAAGGGCATATCATACTTATTTACCAAGTATGTCGTGTCAAATGTAACCACATCGCCAAACTCTTTAAATGCAGCCCTACTCCTTGCATCAGCCCAAAATACATTTAGTAATCTGCCCTCTTCATCCAAATCCAGGACATAAAAAAATTCTGAATTATCAGCTTGCATTTTCACAAAATAATCATACATTGCAGTGGCATCTCCTTTCTCGAGTTTCAAACGACGAACTTTGTCCATATGATTCCTACAATCTTTCTCTAAATATGACAACTTCTCATGCCCTCCAGCTTCAAGCACAAGTGAAGTAAAATTTTTGTTCATCCTAATTCCTGCACTGTCATTTAATTCAAGTCTCCTTTGCACATGTGGTTCAAGAATCCTATTTTGCTTGAAAAAACGAGATTTGCTTGGACTCATTTCATGGTTATGCTCAAGTCTTAAGGATCGCACTATCCACATTCCATCACCTTGTAAATTTGCATTAAGTCCAGCTTTGCATCCCGTTTTAGTTTGTGGGCGTAGTTTAACTATATTGATTGTTCTGATTTTTGCTTTTCCAGCACGAGTACAAGCAATAGTTACATATCTTTTCTCCCCATCATCTCCCCTTTTACAATATTTCTTCGACACTGCAAAACCATTTTTCTTCCCATATCTTGAATAATATTCATAAATTTCATCAATTGACTTAAATGTCATTCCCACTTTAGGATCCTCAATTTCAACTTCTACATTTTTTGTGTCTTCTATTTCAGTCTCAATATCAATTTCGTCACAATCCTCATTTGATTCACTTGATATTTCTTTATCCATACCTCTACAATGTAAATAACAAATTAGAAAAAAAAAAATTTCATAACAAAGGCCACAAAAATCCTAATTAAGAAGAAAATTAAATTATTTTATTAACTTTTTGCTGAAAATTTGTAAAAATTCAAGCAGAAAATTCAGCAATATATTTAAGAAAGTTAGAGACAACAAGAAAGTGAGCTGTGAAAAGCGTAATAAAATCTTAATTGTTAATTTTTTAATTAAAAATGTGAGATGGGTCTCACTGAAACTAGTGTTTTAGTGACAAATTTTATGGCCATTTTGTGGTCAGTAGAAAGGTTGGAAAAAAATGGAAGGATGTACAATAGTGGCAGTCTCACCGGAGGAAGGTGAGAGAGACGAGGAACTGGAAAAGAAAATATTTCAGAGGAAGATGGGTTTCTTATATATATATATACAATAGCTTTTCTGCAACATCAACAAAACATTTTAATAAAAGAAAATAGCCAAATTCACAAGTGAAAGAGAGGAGTACCAGTCAAACGACGACGAAGATGAGTTCTGTGAATAAAATTTATTCCGATGACGCTTATCTTTCTTTCTCTCCCCAGTTCATTCCCAGAAGAATGACAATGGTGAGAAGGCATTCAACTCTCTCTCTAGTCTTTCCAACTTCTCTTTTTTTTTTTCTTTTTTTTTTAATAACACATGGGGGCTCCACCAAAATGAGTTGGTCAATGCCAACTCATTCATGATCCATTTCCTGATCAACCTTTCCTGACCCGTAGCATTATTCTTTTCTCTATGTTGAATCATGAAATTTCCTTGTCTCTGTTTTTGTTTATGTTGAAATACAAAAATTTCCCTTGTCTCTATGTTTTTCTCTCCATTGAAACATATATTTTTTTTCTGTATCACTATTTTTTTCTTTGTCTCTATGTTGAAACACAAAAAATTGTATCTGTGTTAACATAGATTAAATTTCATTATTTGGATTGCAAATTTTCTTAAATTAATATATTTTTCATATTAGAAATTGGTATTGTGCTAGTGATCTCGTTAAATTTCGGTTTTGACACTTTTTTTATTATATATTTTCCTCTTAATTAAAAAGTTTAATTCATTGAAATAGAAAAATTTTGCTAATCAACAAAGACCATCATGCAACTAAGAAATCTATGAATGCTACAGTGAAATTTCATTGACTTAGCATAGTGATTTTCAATGAGTTGGAGAAATTTCACGAGCTGAACACGGTGAACTTGTAATGGCTAGGGTCGAGGCCCAACCATCATTTCTTTTTCATATAGAGATAGTTGCATTAAAAAGATTTTTTTGTCATAATTAGAGTCTGAATAATTTCTAAGTATGAAATTTTGATTTTTCAAAACTTACGATTTCGAAAATAATTTTTAGTGGTAATTGTTCTTCATATATTAAATAGTCTAATTCGATTTTATGGGATTTTCCTACGAGGTATTAGCCACTTTACTTTAATGTCAAACTTAGTAATTTTAGTTGGAAAATTATTTTTGTACTAAAATAGGAGGAAAAAGTTTTTTATTTAATTGGATTTTGGTTTTTTAATTTTTGTACTAAAATATTTTATTTACATTGTAAACTTAAGTAAAATATTTACGTAAATAGTTGCATATGAAAATAAGGTTAATGTGTATGGAGTGCCTTGTAAACTAAACCTATTGGGTTATGTCACTTCTAAAAATCTCAGTTCACTCTACTGCAAGAGTAAGTGCTCGAGCGGTCTGCTCCTTACATGCTTGACATATTAGGAGCATTCATTCTTTGCTGAGTGGGCGCCCGAGCAGTCTGTTTGAGATCAACCATTTAAAAATCATTTTTTACCAAATCTTTTCATTTTCTTACTCTATTTTCTCTCTTACTCCTCCATTCCGAAAACCCTAGACCTTCACACCTAGATTTCATCTAATTTTTACTAAGAATTCACCCGTAGTACTTGAGTTAAAAGTGTAGAGCTCAAAGAGATCAACGTGTTGTACCGATTGGATTGTGTTTTTGTCAAAGTCATCTCTTGGGTCTTCATCCATTTGCACTCATCTTTGAGATAGAAGGACTTTTTAACTTAGTATGTCTACGATTTGAGATGTATATGTGGTACTTTCTTTGTTATATTAATGTATGATAGGAGTAACTTTGATTTATGTGGGTTATTGATGTTTAAATAGGAATTTTTCTATAACGATTCTGGTTTAAACCCGACCCGTTCATTGTTTTGGATATGGATTTTCTTATCTTGATGGTTATTCATGTCTTCTTCCGTCTTATTCCTTGTTGAGTTTGGTTATTGAAATGTCTTGGTTATATTTGAAATAGGTTGAGAGTTAGTTTTTTTTTTTCAAAACTGTTGCTACCCTGTTTTTTGCTTATTCGCTCGAGCAAACTTTCTTAACTTCCAGTACTTTTGCAGGTCTGCAAAACAACTGGGAGTATGGCATTCTTCGCTCGAGCAGTGTTTCTTGCGCTTGAGCGGTCTTGGCTTGAGCGGTCCTTCTTGAGCTCGGGCAGTCTTTTGGAACACTCAGTATTTTTACAGGCCAGCAAAAGTACTAGAAGGGTGATGTTATTCGCTCGAGTGGTGTGTTGTTCACTCAAACAGTCTCACTTTTTGTGTTTGGTCGTTTGAGTGGTCTGCGCGTATATCAAATTGTAAAAGTCACTTTTTGGATCACTTTTTTACTTCTCTCTCTCTCTCTCTAAGTCTCAGATCTACACACACACTCTCTAGAAACCATCTCTAAACTTCAAATACACCTTGATCTTTCGATCTCCACACCTTAGTCCCTTTGATAAAAAGAGAAAGCACGTTGAGGGCTTCGTTCTAATTGGAGAAGTTTGCATTTTCGGTACCATCAAGTTCTACCCATCTTTCCTTTGTGTCTTCTTTTTTGAGGTAGGGATTACTTTGACTCTTTCTTATGATTTTTAACTTAGTTATTTGTTTTTTAAAAAGGATATTGCGATTTGGGGAATTTTGATAAAAATCTAGGGTTTTGGTTGGAAATCAAAAGAGGGGTTTTTAAAATGGGTTCTTAAATATATATTTGGGTTTGTAATTGTGGTTGAATTGTGATGAGATGGTAGATTTTTTTCCTTGGAGTTAATTTTTAAAGAAATGGAATTTTACACTAAATTGTGAACATTTGACTTTGTAAAGAAAAAATAAAATTGATGTTGGTTTTATGAAATTGAGACGATGATGATGATGATGATGATGGTGGAGTTGGATATGAATTATCTTTCCTATCTTAAAATGTTGGAAAGTATATCTTTATTGGAAATTATTTATCTGTTTAGAGATATCTGTTTTGGGCTATTAGTGGAAGATAGCTATGATTATTGTAAATTGCATGAGAATTAGGTGAATTGAAACTAATTTCTCATTCATTTGCATTGGGAATTGTAACATATTTAACACATTGAAAATGTTTATTGTTTTGAGAAAAAATGGGTGAATGCCTTGGTGAATCTGGGTAGAAAGTGCAGTTGTGGTATTAAGTTGGCCTGTGTGTCCTTCGTGAAAGTCCAAAAACCTCGTGTGGATAGGTGCCGAGCCTTTTGGTTAGTACAGGTAAAAATGACAATCGGTAGTGTTTGTAGCTTACTTGTAGACACATTCTAGAGATTTACAGTGTTGTATCCACTGCCCTGTTTTCTATTGTAAAGAAAGTGATTTCATGAATTGTGATATAACCTGACATTACATGGTTTTTGGAAAGAGATATAAAATATTTTTGGCATGAGCATTACATATGCATTTATCTTATAACTTTGTTAAGATTCATATATTGTGTTAGAGTATCTTTACTGGGTTTTGGCTTACCCTATGTGGAAAACCATTTTCAGGTGCTGATGATATGCCTCCGCCAAGACAGTAGTTTAGGAGGACTTGGAGCCAAGAGCTTCCTTTTTTGTTATTGTTGTATTTATTTTGTACAAGCCTAGGGTCTTATTTGTATTGAGTTTCAAACTCACTTTTGTTGTAACCAAACACCGTTTGAAAAGTTATAGTCGTTAGGGCAATTATATATCTGTTTAACTTTTATTTCATATCTTTTGTTTATAACACATGCTATAAATTCAGGGTTAAGACTTATAAAAATATAAATGCATGTGTTACTCTTTTGTACACTTGAAGCATATGGATGGAAGGACTTTATTCTTGGATCATGATGTTGTTTAAAATTAATCATTACTTCCAGTATTTCGAGCCATTACATTTTCCCAAATCCATAAGGAGTTTTGAATGGTTAATGGAAATAGAGATGTTTGATGAAGATTATTTGATTTTAAAACGCAAATGAGGAAAAAACGCTAAATTTTTATTAAATCCTAATTTTGATTTTTACTCTAAGAGGATTTTTATTTATTTGGGCAATGTAATTTGAAATTGAGTTGTTAATCTATCAAAACATTGATGATAATTAAATTGGTGAACTTGTTGAGATTTATTTGCTTAATTAAGGTGGTGGATCTAGTTGAATTTATGGAATTAAGATTCCTTTGAAATATTAGGGTAATAGAGGAAAATCATTAATATTTTTCATCAATCCACTCTGTCTCATATAATAATCACGTAAGAGTTATATAACACTATATATACTTTTTATCAATCCACTCTGTCTCATATAATAATCACGTGAGAGTTATATAACATTATATATATATATATATATATATATATATTTATGTTCATATATTGAAAATTAGGATGAAGATGTAAGAAAACATAGTTTTTGAAATAAAAAAAGGTAGCAGAGAAATCGAAAAGAAATGAAGAGGAATAGACAGAAAATTATGACCAAGTTTGGCAACATCAAAACAATCCATATTTTTATCTTTTTATCTTTTTTTCATCACATCACCTCTTTACTTTTCTATACATATTTTCGTAAAAAGACAAAAAGTACATTTATTTAGGTCATCCCAAACAATATGGAAAACAAAACTTTGTGATTCTAATTTCTACAAAATCTTAGTTCATCGTCTTAATCGTTCAAAATTTATATTTTGTTTTAGCTTAATATAATTATAATTTGATATAAATTTTGGGGTAAAATATAATTATATACTTGTGACATTATTATTACTAACTTTTGTTAAAAAGACAAAAAGTACACTTATTTAGGTCATCCCAAACAATATGGAAAACAAAACTTTGTGATTCTAATTTCTACAAAATCTTAGTTCATCGTCTTAATCGTTCAAAATTTATATTTTGTTTTAGCTTAATATAATTATAATTTGATATAAATTTTGGGGTAAAATATAATTATATACTTGTGACATTATTATTACTAACTTTTGTTAAAAGGACATGTACAATAAAATAATAATTTTAATTGTCACGATTTCATGTCTACAAATCAAATGCAAAGTGTTATTTACCCCCATAATTTAATTGCATTAGTTGAAAAAATAATTTTTTTAAGGATAAATTATACTTTTTCACATTCAAAATTCATTTTGGTTGGTCAAAAAATCTGAATAAAAAAAGTAGACTAAAATTTAATTAAAAATTCTCCCTCCATGATATAATAATAATAAAATCAAATCTCTCTGTATTTGCTCTATTTTTACATACTCACAACAATGGATTCTGTATAAATATACTGTGAAATTGAAGCAGACGAGAAAGCCCCTCTCCCAATGATGGTTGCCTCCGGAACCAATTCCTTCGCCAAGGAGATGGCCATCCGCAAGCGGATTGCCAGCATGTACTTTCTCTTCCTTCTCTTTCTTTTCACATATATATATTTGTTAATTAGAGTTTTGTACTTGTTGGGTTTAGTGGGTTTAAGGGTTTGGATTATACTCTGAAATTTGGGAAACACTCTGGAATTATGAAGGTTAAGAAGGGGGTGTTCTTGTTTGACTATTGATAATTGGAATTGGAATATTGAATGGTATGTTAAAGGAAAAAGGAAAAAAAAAAAACAAAAAATGAAATTTTTGTAATGAATTGGGTTTTAGATTTGGTGACTGGAAGAATATTTGTGTCTTCTCTTATCTGTAATTTTTATTTACATTTATAATGATAGATACCTCTAGCCTTGGAGAACAAATTATTTTTCAGTTTCTTGTAGAATATATTGGTTAAGTGCTGGTTATTCAAGCTTCAAGGTCACAACATACACGCCTCAATTGGCACCAAAAATCCCACTCTTCAATTTTGTTTGTTGAGAAACCAAAATTGACCACATACTTATGGTTTGGTTTATCGTGTAAATGGGATTCACAAGAGGTTTTAAGTGTTTTATAAAAATCTATAGAAATCCCATATCAGGAATAATTAAAGAAAAATGGCAGGGATGTTTTGTAAATAACTCCCTTCCTAACCTTTTTGCAAAACATGTAGTATTTGTTGATTTGATACCCTTTTTTTTTTTTTTTCTGCTTTCTAAAAACAAGCTAAAGGATTACTAGGTGTTCGCATCTACTAATCCTATCTAGAACTTGTGTGGCAGCTAGCCAGCCATGTGTTGTTGCCTTGGGCATGGATGCCATGTGGTAAGGTAAGATGTAGTGGCACAAGAAAATACTAGAAACAAGCTTGTGTTCATATCTTTAGATGCAAATATATTGGTCATTTATCTTCTAATACTAACAAATTTTGAATATATAAAGTGTTTGAATATAATATTTCGGTCAGTTTGATCGGTATCAGTGTAAAGTGTTTCAAAATCAAAACAAACTGTACTTTATGAACAATAGGCTGAAAACCAAAATTTTTAGATTTCATGCCTTTAAGATTACACTCTGTTTTTGGAATTTGACTTATGTTGTTTTTTTGGAACTTTGACCTATGTTGTATGGACTCTGATACAAGCATTGGGTGTGGGTGTTTGTTCAAGTGTTAGACCTTCATAAACCTAAATCTTATGATATTGAGATATATATCCAATAGTTGGATATGGGTACAAAGATGTGTCATGGACATTTCTATATATTGCATTTTGTATAATATTCTTAGATAAGATATTGTAAATTATATAGGAATGTACTTAAAATTAAGGGTATGGCTTCTCTCATGTTGGAGTTCCAACTGGACTGAACAGTTCAAACCACTAGATGAAGGCACGTTAGTTGAAATGGCAAAGAACGGCTCAGATTAAGCCACACAATCAAAAGTCCAGACCCACTTCAATATGACATCGTTATTAACTAAACGGAAACCTAACCTAGTGCCGTTCAGAAATTTCAACACTCACATTTGTTCCTATTCTCTGAAACGATGTCAAATCTCTCTCTCATTCATGCTCTGCTCTATGCTTGCCCAAAATTCGATATCCCTTTCCTTCTCACCCAAAAACTAACATGGAAGCCTTTGATAAACAACCATGGCTGGAAGGAAACGATTTCTGTTTCACAGGGCGCCTTCGTGCATGGAAGGCAAATTTTGGATGTGGTCTTAGTGGCCAATGAGGTTGTGGAGGAATATAGAGCGTTACGTAAGGAGGGGGTAGTATTTAAGGTAGACTTTGAGAAAGCATATGATCATGTGGATTGGGGTTTTTTGGATTTTGTTTTGGAAAAGAAGGGTTTCGGTTTTAGGTGGAGGAAGTGGATTTGTGGGTGTGTGTCATCGTGCAATATGTCGGTTATTGTGAATGGAAAAGCCGGGAATTCTTTTCATGCGTCTCAGGGATTAAGGCAGGGAGGCCCATTATCTCCATTTTTATTTGTCGTAGTGGCTGACGTGCCGGGGAGGTTAATTGATGTTGCTAGGGATAAGGGGGCTATTGAGGGGTTTGTGGTGGGTAGAGATATGATTAGTGTGACTCATTTGCAGTTTGCAGATGATACCATATTTTTCTCTTCTAAGGAGGAAAGTATGGTCTGTAATCTACTTATGCTTTTGAGAATCTTTGAAGTTGTATCCGGCCTTAAGGTCAATCTCACTAAGAGTTGTGTTGTGGGTATTAATCTTGAGCGTAGTTGCGAGCTTCGTATGGCGGATATGTTGGGTTGCCCCATTGAGAAGCTTCCTCTGAAGTATTTGGGGCTCCCATTGGGTGGTGATCCTAGAACAGAGGCCTTTTGGAATCCAGTCCTTGTTAAGATTGGGAAAAGATTGGAGGGTTGGAGGCGAGCATTGTTGTCTCGGGGTGGGAGATATACTTTGGTACAATCAGTGTTGAGCTGTATTCCTATTTATTTTTTGTCCATTTTCAAGATACCGGTTCGTTTTGCAAGGCAAATTGAGAAATTGTTGAGAGATTTTTTGTGGGAGGGGTGTGATGAGGGTAAGAGGGATCACTTAGTCAGTTGGGAGGTTGTCTCTCTCCCTCGGCATAAAGGGGGTCTTGCTATTGGGAACATTGTTGCTAGAAACATTGCCCTCTTGAGCAAATGGTTGTGGAGATTTCGTGAGGAAAGTGAGCCTTTATGGTGTTCTATTATTAGAAGCAAGTACGGAACTCAGGCTAATGGTAGAGATTCTATTGTGGTTAGCAGAGGCAATTGTCATTCTCCATGGAAGTCTATCTCTCGTTTGTTTCCCATTGTGTCTCGGTTTGTGTCTATGAAAGTGGGTGATGGGGCCAGCATTCGATTTTGGGAGGATGTTTGGGTGGGGGAGACACCTTTTGATCAAGCTTTTCCACTTTTATACCGATTGGTTCATGCACGAAATGTGTCAATTGCGTCGGTGGCCTGTTCTAATGTGGCACCAATCTCTTGGAATTTCAATTTCTTTAGGAATCTAAGTGATAGGGAGTCTCTTGAGTTGGCATCTTTGTTGACATTGATTGATGGGGTTTCCTTAGTTTTATCTCCCGATAAAAGGATATGGAATATCAGTTCTTTAGGGGTCTTTTCTTGTAAATCTTTGTTTGACAATCTCATTGATAAATCTTCCATTCCTTTGTTTCCTCTACATATGAAAATCTGGAAAATGGGTGTTCCTCATAAAGTCAAGTTTTTCATGTGGTCCTTAGCTCATAGAGGTGTCATGACCAATGACCTTTTCCAAAGGAGAAGGCCTAATCACTATCTTTGTCCTCATTGGTGCGTGATGTGCAAGAGGAGTTCGGAATCGGCGGATCATCTATTTCTTCATTGTTCGGTGGCTATGCAGTTATGGCAGCATCTATTTGGTTTGTGTGATGTTACATGGGTTGCTCCACGGGATTGCACACATATGCTTCTTGTTAGGTTTGATGGGTTTGGCAGCTCTGAGAAAGCCAAAATTTTGTGGTTTTGTATTGTTTGTGCTATTTTCTGGATCATCTGGCTGGAAAGGAATTCAAGAATCTTTGATGGAAAGGAGGCTGTTGTAGATTCTTTGTGGGATAGGGCAGGTTTTTTGGCTTCTTTTTGGGCTTTTGTGTCTCCTCCGTTTAAAGGAGTTCCACTTTTCTTGATTTCTAGGGATTGGTTTGCTGTTTGCAACCCCTAGTGTTTGGACTTTCTTGTTTTCCCTTTCTTTTTCTGATAGTTGTTTGTATTTTGATTGGGTTCTTGTTCATTGTATGAGGACTTCTTGTCCTCCACACTTTCTTCTTTAATAAAACTTCTTGTTGGCTTTTCAGAAAAAAAAAAACAACCATGGCTGTAAGAATTGTTGGGACAAACTTTCTCTCTCGGTAATGCATCTTTAGCCTCAATGCAGCATTAAATAAAAAAATTCAACATCTTTCTATACTGGTTTGGTTTCTGTGGAATATTTACGTCCCTAACATTTTTTTTAATGTCTGTTCATCAACTCCTTAGAGGGGGGTTTAATTGTAAAAAAATATGCAATTTATACTTACAATTTGCTGTTGTTTAGTTTTGCTCAAAGAAGTATGGATACGGACACGCGACACGACATGGACACGTCGACACGCTAATTTTCAAAAAATATAGGACACGACACGTGGGGGACACACATAAAATATATAAATTTATATATTTATTATATGTTATATATATGAATATATCATTCAAAGATAATAAAGAATGTAATATGACACTAATTTTTATAAATTAAGATGGTTTTTGTTTTATTATTGTATCATAAGTTATTTTGTTCGAACTTATAATTAGTTTCACCTGTGTCTAATCCATAAGCACGTGTGTTTAAGTGATAGATACGTGTGTCCTCCATGTATCCAAAGAGTGTCCGGGTCTTTAAAAAAAATTAAAAAATGGGACACGTTTTGAAGAGTGTCAGACACATGTCGGGGAAGTGTCCAAAGAGTGTCGGTGTGATACCCCTGTTCCGTAATATGCTAAATTGATCCTTAATTTGAATATGATTATGTGTTCAGCATGATTTTATGTGCCATTATGTGGTGTGATTTTGCAATTCTATCTGTTTACTGTAGGAATATCTGTTTGAGTAAACTACTTTGGGAATTAAATTGAGGGCCCTATCGGCCACAGAACCCGAAATTGATTACACCATTGTGATTGGCATAATTTTTAGAGCCTACGGTGAAATTTAATTGAAAATTGATTCGGGTTAGATTAAACCGATTAAATTGATGAATTAGAGCCCAACTACTTTATTATTATAATATTGGCCTTAGTGGGTTTTGTTGTCAAGTTTTAAACACTCAATCTCTCTCTCCCTAGCCTCATTTTGACTGATAATAAACTCAAAGAAGAGAAGAGAGGGTCGGTTGGAAAAAGAGAGAATAGGAGATTGAGGGTTGGCCTAAAGTTTGGAAATTTTGGAGGTTAAGCTCAAAGAATTGCCATAGATTGTGGAGATTAAACTCCTTGGTGAGTAATGCATGCATTTTTAGTCATCATCTTGTGAATTCAAGTTTAATAGATGGCCAAGACCATGAATTAGTTTGAATATGAAGGGATTGAGTTGTATATGTTGAATTTCAAGCTAATAGAAGCATGCATGTAAAGAATTGTTATAGATTTCCATGTTTGAGCTTACTTTGTGTAATCTATATTGAAATTTGAATGAAATCCATGGGTATGACCACTTCTTCACCAAATAAGTTGTGAATAATGTGTATTTCTTACATGCAAGAGTAGATTATGAAAGAGCAAGCTTTGCATGTTGAAACTTGATATGTTGGTGATGAATTTGGATTAATTTGAGGCATGCATGTAAATGACATAAGAAATTGAGCTTCCTAATGTTGTAATTTTGTATTGGTAGCATGTTAGCATCAGTAAATGTGAATTTTGAGCCATAACATGCATAAATTGTGGGTTGAAAGTCGAGGTGAAGCTCAAGAACTCAATCTGGAATTTCCAGAATTTTGACTTCCGCTCGAGCGGGGGAAGGGCCGCTCGAGCGGAGAAATCGTGCTCCCAGCACTTTTTGTAGAGTTGGATGTCCGCTCGAGCGGGATATCTCACGCTCAAGCGGGGAGTTTTGCAGACAGGCCTTCCGCTCGAGCGCTCTATTCCACGACCGAGCGTATTTTTCATGCAACCAGTACTTTTGCAAGCCTTAACGGTCCGCTCGAGCGGGGAAGTTGACGCTCGAGCGGGGACCTTGTTCTCTGAAATTTTATATGCTCGTTCTGTGTTTTGTTTTCCGTTCTCTTTCACTTGTAAGCACTTTTAGGCATGTGTTAAGCATGGTAAATGAGTTAATGAAATAAGAATAAAGCCTAAAGAGGAATATGTGAATTAAAGAACGGGTTGAATTGATAATCCAGAGGTCGTTTTGATAGAGATGAATGGACCAAAGGTCGTTTTGATAGTAATGAATGGACCGGAGGTCGTTTTGATAGAAATGAATGGATCGAAGGCCGTTTTGGTAGAAATGACTGGACCAAAGGTCGTTTTGATGTACATGAACGGACCGAAGGCCGTTTTGACATATATGGATGGACCAAAGGTCGTTTTGACATGAATGAGTGGGCCGAAGGCCGTTTTGCCACAAATATATGGGCCGAAAGCCGTTATGACATAAATGGGTGGGCCGAAGGCCGTTTTGACATAAATGAATGGGCCAAAGGCCAGTATGTTTGGAACTACAGTCACTCGATCTAAACCTTACATAAATGTACATATGTTAAGTAGGAATATGAATTGGGCCCAAGGCCGTTTGGAGTATATTGTCTTACATATTGTTTATACGACTTCTGTATTTGATATTATTCACTGAGCTATCGCTCACGCTCATTCATGTGTTTGTAGGTGAGCCGAGGGAAGTCCAAACCCAGCCCTAGTGAAGTCTGCCAGGAACAACATGAGTTTTGAGAAAGTCAGCCTTGTGTCTCACGCACAAGACCTATCCTTGCCATTTTGTTATGTAACTATATTTTGTTTTGCTGGCAAGGACTTTATGTATATTTGTAAATAGTCTGTCATGGGTTGACTTAGTTGGATGATCCTGTCTGTAAAGAATTTTATGGTACTGTACTTTTGACGTGGGTTATTAACGTATATGAGTATGGTTTGTTTTGAAGTGCATATAAGCACGGCTCTATGGACAAAGTTTTTGATTATTGCTTCCGTTTGGCCCCTTTACTCTGTTGAGTTATGTCTATTTTGGTTTGAGGCCGTAGGTAATCTCAGGATTACTGGCCGGTTACGTCCTTAACCCATAGGGGCGGGTTCGGGTCGTGACAGTCGGTGTCCGACACGGACACAACACGGATATGTCATCTGCTTAGAAGTGTCCGTGCTTCTTAGATTTTGCTGCATAGAAGGAAAAATGTTTTGTTGTTGTTTGTTTAGTTTTTCTGGACAAGAAGTTTATGCCCGACTGTTACAGAGTTGATTAAAACAAAGTTTGAGGTGCTGTAAAGATTTGAATTTACAAACAATAATTTGAACTGACAAAACTTCATACTAAATTTATTGGCTTTTCAATATGTGGAGAAGGGTTTCATAATCACAGCAACTACTCAGATTAGAGTTCCTTTTAAATTTCGAAATCGTTTCAGAGAAAAAGATGATGATCATGTGTCAGCACTGAGATTAAATTTTTTGAACGGAAGCTTTTCTTTCCGTTAAGTTGGAAATGATGCAGTATTGAGATGAATCTGGGTGTGACTGTGTGGCTTAATCTGAGCCGTTCTTTGCCATTTCAGCTGACATGCATTCATCTGGTGGTTTGAACTATTCGGTCCAGTTGGAACTCTAAAATGAGAGAAGCCATACCCTAAAATTAAATAAGATTCAGGAAAAAAAAAAAGAATTTTTATCACTCATCATTGTGTGAGGCTAGAGATGTTTCATTTCTAGCTAACATGAGTTTCTTTTTCTTCAAACATTGTAAAAAAATTAAGGAATCCAAGTATCTGAATTGGGTATGACTGTCGAACACATATCCCACACCCTTACTCTTATCATGTCCATTGGACATGGGTACTTTGACAGAAATAGAAGAATTGAGGTAACACAGCCTTTGACAATATATGCACAAAGTGGCTGCTCTAAAGAGATAATAAGAAAATAGGAAAAATAAAACGAGGATCATATTATAGATATCCATTGTCCACAATAATGGCATGGACAAACTTGACGTGGGTATGTGCTAATCCACAAAATGATTCTAAGTGAAGCAAAAAAGATTCTTATTTGTTACTATAGAAAACAATTTTTTTATTTTTTTTTTAGTTTCGCCTGTATGGTATTGATAAATTGTAGAATGATGAATGAAGCACTTGATTGCCAATTAAAAAATTTGAGATTTGTTAATTCATCGGCTAATATATTTCCGAAAAGTCAAAACTTAAGTGATAAAGGTTTTGTGAAACCTTCTAAGATTTTAATAGGTAAAAGGATAGGAGTTGGTTGAATGTATTTTCCAAAATAAGCCAACCTTTTTTGCTAAGATCCGCATAGAAATATGTGACTGCCATTGGTAATTTTTCTTGCATCTCCTCCTCCGGTGATGAATGAAGTATCTGATTGTCAATTCGAACATCTGAGATTTGTTTGTGTGATTTTACTCCTTCACTTACCTCACTGTGTTATTGATCGCCAGTTTGCTTCTAGTTAATGTATAATGAAGATTATAATAAGTTGAATTCTTGATCTCTGTTTGTTTTCTTCTTTTTTGTTTTGCACAATTTTGACAGATTTAATAAAAGAGAAGAGGATTTCCCATCATTGACAGAGTACAATGATTACTTGGAGGAAGTGGAAGACATGAGTAAGTTTTTGTAGTTTATAAGAGTTTTCTTTTTATAGAAATGCTTTCCTTCTTTGTAGAAGTCTTGACATGGGCATTCTAGGTGCCTTGACTTGGATATAGGTGTTCCTGTTGTTGGTGTGTGATTTCACCTATTACCTCAGGTCTTGTAATAGAGAGTTCATTATGTTGCCTTCCCTCTTAGGTTGTGAGAGGTTTGTTATTTGGTTTTCTAATCCCCTCTTGGGATGTAAAAGACCTTTTTTCCTTGTGCCCTTTGTTTCCTCCATAGGGTTTGGGTTGAGCTTCATTCTATTTATCTTTTTGGCAATAAAATCTTATCTTATGTACTGAAGAATTATTTATTTGTTTATTTATTTTTTCAGTATTCAACTTGGTTGAAGGAATAGATGTTCCTGCTATTGAAGAAAAAATTGCAGAGTACGAGAAAGAAAATGCTGAACAAATTATGAATGCTCAAGCACGTAAGGTTTGCTGTGAAGTTAGCTAAATTTCTTGTATCATACTGAACAATGTTTTATTTAATTTAGGTTTTTTAAAGGTTGTGAATTCTGTGGTTTCTGTTGCAAAATTTTCTTGAGTATTCTTAGTCTGGTTATTTTATTATTACAGGCCGAAGAGTATGCAGCAGCATTGGCTGCAAGCAAAGGACAGCCTGCACAGGCTGATGGTGATATGGTGAGAAGATTACATGCATTATCATTTCATCTTGTCACTTGCCTACTTAAAATCTTTCTTAGCCATCTTCAAGTGCACTGTTACTTTTATGTTTTTGATAGGTAATTTAAAGAGCTTGAACTTGAGTCTCTTTATTGGGGGACTGCAGCCTAAGCGGCTGGGTTGTCCCCTAGGGGACTTAACTCCACTTTTTTGAATATCATTAGGTGGCACTGCAACTATGCTGTCCAATATGAGATTGTAGATTGATTGGAGTTGGCAGATTAACTTTTTGGCTTGCTTTATATCCTACTATTAAAAACCTAGTTGATGGCCAAAGAACATGGGACTTGAAAAGTCTCGTCCCAACTAGTTGGTTTAGCTACTTGAATTATGTTGTGTCCATCCTTAAGAGCCGTAGCTTTAGCTAAATCACACTGTGACATGTCTAATTTTAGCTGTATTGTGAGCATGAAATTGATGATAATAACAATAATAATAGTTGATGATGTTTGCCAAATTTTCAGCCATTATGTTAGTTTAGCTACTTGAATTATGTTGTGTCCATCCTTAAGAGCCGTAGCTTTAGCTAAATCACACTGTGCCATGTCTAATTTTATCTGTATTGTGAGCATGAAATTGATGATGATAATAATAATAACAGTTGATGTGTGCCAATTTTTAAGCCTTTATGTTATCACAGATGTGATAATGCTGATCCTTTGATGTTTTGCATAATTATTTGTTTCTTAAACTTGGCAATATGTTCTCAACATGTTACCAGTATGGAACCTAAGTTTCCTGAATCTCTGCATAGATTTCTTGTGTATCCTATCTTAAATTTGATGTAGGAGACACCATTTTTTAATTTATTATTTTTTCTTTTTATATATCTAAGATCCTGTATTTCAGCAAGGAATTTGAGGCTATTTATATTCTATAAATGATTGTTGATGCACATACGTTTAGCCTTAAGTAAGAAGTGTAAAGGCGTCTGTGTAGAGCAAAACTATTTGGCTGATATGAAGACATTTTCTTAATGTGTACCAGATGTATTTAAACCTCCCTAATTGAAGTGCTGCTTGATGGTTGTCAATAATCAGAAATTGGGTTATTGGATTGCTGCGTGAAAGCCTGACATATTAATGACTAAACGTGGCTTATAAGTTACCTAACTCTCAAATACAAACATAGTGAGATTACCTGGACAATTGAATTGGTCACGCTCATTATATTTATGTTTTAGGTACATGCTTGACAATGAAGTTGTTTAGTGTGGTGATACTGCTTGTGATTAGATATGATTTTGTGGGTTTGAGTTACTTTGCCTCTTACTAAAAAAACGTGTATTACTCAGCAGAGAATGGATGAATCTGTGCTCTCAAAACCCAAATCCGCGAATTTGGGACTAATCTGGCATGAACCTGTGCGTGTGAATTTATTTACACTAGCAGTGATTAGGTTTTTTCAGTTTAGATACACCATTGAATGGGATTAGCAATGCAGATGTTTTAACCAATAGTGGAATATTTGTTTTACTATTATTGTCCTCGTGTTCGTCATGCATTTTGGACTTGTCAGTCAATTATCAGAGGTTTAGAGAAAACCAGAGAATGATAAATATCAACACCAATCCTACATGTGCCTAAGTACAATTAATTACATGATAAATGTGGATTTTTGTCTGTGTTCTTGTGGCGTTTAATAATTTGAAAAATGAAACTCTGACTTTTATGATTACTTGATTACATAGCCAGGAATAACCTAATGAGTGTGGTGTTACTAGATTATGTTTATGCTTTCATCTTTTCTGTTATCTCTCTCTCTCTCTGTGTATATATTATTACATATGTGAGGGGTTCTCATGTTCTGAAAATGCCCTTCTAGCCTATTTAAAATAAAAAAAATTATATAGAGAGGAGGTTGGGACTCGAAACCGAGACCATGGTTTGATGAAGAAAGCCCTTAACTACTTAAGCAACACATACTATATGTGCATTTTTTTTTGGGGGGTCATTATTCTTATAATATTACTTCTTTTTTCAAGTTGCACACGCATCGCGTGTGTAGACTGCTAGTATATATATATACATATATGGCTTTCTGTATACTCAAACATCCATATTACATTGTCAAACTTTCTTGAACCTCTGTTATTCCATTGGTAACTGATGAAATCTCATAATGGTTCAATTTATGAAATATTCTGAACTTAATATGGCTAGTGTTAATTTTAGAATGCTTTCTTTTTTTTTGTTTTTGGTAAAAAAGAATGTAATATTTTCTATAAATGGGCTTGTGTTGAGGATTCTTCTTGATGAACATCACATCACATGTTCTAAACCGTCTTTATTGAGACAGAGCATGAGCCAGAGCTCCCAAGTAGGGGTCGCTGCTGGTGCGTATGCCCCTGCAGTTGCTGGGGGTGGAATTGCGCAGCCACGGCCAACAGGCGTGGCTCCACTGCCTATTCCAATTGGATCTAATCATGACATGCAAGGGTATGATATTGATGATGAAGAAATGATGAAACTTCGAGCAGAGAGAGGTATAAGGGCAGGAGGATGGAGCGTCGAATTGAGCAGGAAACGGGCACTTGAAGAAGCCTTCAGTAGCATTTGGATTTGAGTAGATATCTGAGCTCATGTGCTAGTTGGCTTGCTGCTTTACAAGAGGAAGGTGACACAATTTACTATCAGATTTTTAAATACGAGAGAGAGGGGGAGAGAGAGAGAGAGAGAGAGAGAGAGCAGTTAGTGATATCAGTGAAGTGTAATGACTGTATGTATGTTCTGTATGGTTATAATTATTTATCATGTCCTGTTCTGGTTTGGTTCACGCATTTTTAGCATTAATTTTTTTTTCTTTTTTAGATTTTTTTTACACGATTAAAAATGTATTACAAATAGAATTATCGTTCATCATTATGAGGTATTGTTTGATCTATTGGAATGAAATAAACATTCCATTAGAATATCTAATTTTATGTTTCGAAATGCACGCAATTGCAGAACTATCAATATACTCAATAGATAACCAAATAATTCGAATCACATAGAAAGTTGCATAAAATTGGGAGATTTAATCTATAGCAGGTCCTTTAAATCAAAGAATTTATTATACACAAGTACTAAATCAGGGTAGCACAAAATGATCTACAAAAGGGACATCGATTAGTCTTTGGCAACGACTTGAGCATGCAGTCCCTGTGAAACACATGCGAGCAGGGCGTTATCGCAACCATCATTCCTCCACAAATCTCCCCCAAACAAATCGAACAATCACCAACTGCTTCGTCACCACCGTCTCCATCAAACTCCTTCACCTTCATCACAGCCTCAACCTCGCAAAGCCCTTGACACTCATGGCTCGATATTGGTTCCTCAAAATCAGTCAATAACACACCACGAATCTCTTCAACTTTTTCAACAGACAATTTTCTTTGTTTTAAACCCTTCGAAAAATGGGTAAGTCTATAGTACATTTTGTATAAAAAATGTACGGTACATACAAAATCTATGGTTAAGATTGAGCCACATCATTAAAAGTGAGCTGCTAAACAGGTCACTTTTTATAGTTATGAGCTAAAATCATATTTCTTCACAACTATAATCAAATTGATCATAACTTAGCTATAACTACATCTCATAACCAACACCATTTTAGTCATAACTAACATCACATATTTCATAATCATAATCACATATCTCATAACCAATACCACTTTGATCATAACAAATATCACATATCTCATAACTATTGATCACATATCTTATAACCACATCTCATAGCCAATCCTTTTGAGTCATAACCAACATCACATATCTCATAACCACTAGTCACATATCTCATAACAAACACCTTTTTGTCATAACCACTAATCACACATCTCATAACCACTAATCACACATCTCATAACTACTACCCACATACATCATAACCACATCTCATAACCAATCCCTTTGAGTCGTAACCAACATCACATATCTCATAACCACTAATCACATATCTTATAATTAACACCTTTTTGCTCATAACCACATCACTTTGATCATAACCAACATCACATATCTCATAACTACTAGTCACATATCTAATAACCAACATCACATATCTCACAACCACTAGTCACATAACCAATATCTCATAACTCATAACCATTAGTACATGTAGCATAACCACACCCTTTGACACCACTTTGCTCATAACCATTACCCACGTATCTCATAACCACTAACACATATAGCATAACCAAACACCCTTTGACACCACTTTACTCATAACCATTACTCACATATCTCATAACCACTAATACATATAGTATAACCAAACACCCTTTTGACACCACTTTGCTCATAACCATTACTCACATATCTGATGAACCACCTTTGACATCACTTTGCTCATAACCGTTACTCACATATCTCATAAACCACTAACACATATAGCATAACCAAACACCCTTTGACACCACTGTGCTCATAACTATTACCCACATATCTCATAACCAACATCACATATATCATAACTACTAATCACATATCTCATAACCAAACACTCTTTGACTTATAACTATACCACTCTGCTCATAACCAAAACCACATATCTCATAATCACTAATCATATATCTCATTACCTTTACCCGCGTATGTTATAACCACATCTCATAACCAACACCCATTGTTTCATAATCAATATCACATATATCATAACCACTAATCATATATCCCATAACCACTACCCACGTATAGGGGTGTAAATTTGGTCCACGAGCTCGCGGCACACCCTAAGTCCGCTCGTGCCCTGGGTAGGCAGAACTAGGCTCGAGCCTAAACCCAACCTAAGATATGTGTTCTAGAGCCCTGCCCGACCCTGGTGTTATGGAGTGTGACCCATCCCGTGAGCTCGCCCCGAAATTTTCTTCCCCATCTGGCTCGACTCGACCCCAATGGCTCCCTGCCTCTCTTGTCAGTGCAATGGTCAAAAATTTAAATCAAAACAATTTGAAAGAGTCATATAACCGTTAATTCCACCAACAATCAATTTTTATTTTATTTTATTTTATTTTTTTATATATATAAATTAACTCCTCCCTCCCAAGTCTTATAAATACCACCCCTCTCACATCACTACAAGAAAAATGGGCTTAAAAGACGAAACTTTTTGCGACGGCACAGCTTGCCGTCGCAAAAATGTGATCTTTTGAGACGACATAACTTGCCGTCGCTAAAAAATGTGACTTTTTGAGACGGCACAGCTTGCCGTCGCAAAAAATGTGACCTTTTGAGACGGCACAACTTACCTTCGCAAAAAAATGTGACTTTTTGAGACGGCACAGCTTGCTGTCGCAAAAAATGTGACCTTTTGAGATGGCAGAACTTGCCGTTGCAAAAAAAATGTGACTTTTTGAGACGGCACAACTTGCTGTCGCAAAAAAATGTGACATTTTGAGACGGCACAACTTGCCGTTGGAGTATTTGCGACGGCATAAAATGTTGTCACGAAAAAATAGAGTATTTGCGACTGCAGAAATTGCTGTCGTAAAAAAAAATAGAGTTTTTGCGACGGTACCAGCTGCAGTCGCAAAAAAAAAGAAGAGTTTTTTTCGACCGTAATAGGTACCGTTGCACACAAAAAATATATATATATATATATATATGTTGTGGCTTTGAGACGGCTTCATATATATATATAGTCACAAAATGGTTTAAATAAATGCAATGGTATTTTTCTGTCACAAAAAAAAAAATGACGTCGTCTTACTCTTTTGAACATTTCTCTTTTCATCCATTTTTTCATCTTCCTATCTCTCTGTCTCTGTTTCTGTCTCTCTTCTCTCTTTCTCACTCACTCATCACTCTTCTCTATCTGTCTATCTCTCTCTTTCTCTCTGTGTCTCTGTCTCTCTTCTTTTTTTCTCTCTCTCTCACTCATCACTCTTCTCTGTCTGTCTGTCTGTCTCTCTCTCTCTCTCTCTTTCTGTCTCACTCTCTCCCTCTCATCTTCTCTATTTATCGAGCTCAGTCAAATGGTGTTTGGTTATGCTATATGTGTTAGTGGTTATGAGATATGTGATCAATAGTTATGAGATATGTGATATTTGTTATGATCAAAGTGGTGTTGGTTATGAGATATGTGGGTAATGGTTATGAGCAAAGTGGTGTCAAATGGTGTTTGGTTATGCTATATGTGTTAGTGGTTATGAGATATGTGATCAATAGTTATGAGATATGTGATATTTGTTATGATCAAAGTGGTGTTGGTTATGAGATATGTGGGTAATGGTTATGAGCAAAGTGGTGTCAAATGGTGTTTGGTTATGCTATATGTGTTAGTGGTTATGAGATATGTGATATTTGTTATGATCAAAGTGGTGTTGGTTATGAGATATGTGGGTAATGGTTATGAGTAAAGTGGTGTCAAAGGGTGTTTGGTTATACTATATGTGTTAGTGGTTATGAGATATGTGGGTAATGGTTATGAGTAAAGTGGTGTCAAAGGGTGTTTGGTTATACTATATGTGTTAGTGGTTATGAGATATGTGGGTAATGGTTATGAGTAAAGTGGTGTCAAAGGGTGTTTGGTTATACTATATGTGTTAGTGGTTATGAGATATGTGGGTAATGGTTATGAGTAAAGTGGTGTCAAAGGGTGTTTGGTTATACTATATGTGTTAGTGGTTATGAGATATGTGGGTAATGGTTATGAGTAAAGTGGTGTCAAAGGGTGTTTGGTTATACTATATGTGTTAGTGGTTATGAGATATGTGGGTAATGGTTATGAGTAAAGTGGTGTCAAAGGGTGTTTGGTTATACTATATGTGTTAGTGGTTATGAGATATGTGGGTAATGGTTATGAGTAAAGTGGTGTCAAAGGGTGTTTGGTTATACTATATGTGTTAGTGGTTATGAGATATGTGGGTAATGGTTATGAGTAAAGTGGTGTCAAAGGGTGTTTGGTTATACTATATGTGTTAGTGGTTATGAGATATGTGGGTAATGGTTATGAGTAAAGTGGTGTCAAAGGGTGTTTGGTTATACTATATGTGTTAGTGGTTATGAGATATGTGGGTAATGGTTATGAGTAAAGTGGTGTCAAAGGGTGTTTGGTTATACTATATGTGTTAGTGGTTATGAGATATGTGGGTAATGGTTATGAGTAAAGTGGTGTCAAAGGGTGTTTGGTTATACTATATGTGTTAGTGGTTATGAGATATGTGGGTAATGGTTATGAGTAAAGTGGTGTCAAAGGGTGTTTGGTTATACTATATGTGTTAGTGGTTATGAGATATGTGGGTAATGGTTTTGAGTAAAGTGGTGTCAAAGGGTGTTTGGTTATACTATATGTGTTAGTGGTTATGAGATATGTGGGTAATGGTTTTGAGTAAAGTGGTGTCAAAGGGTGTTTGGTTATACTATATGTGTTAGTGGTTATGAGATATGTGGGTAATGGTTATGAGTAAAGTGGTGTCAAAGGGTGTTTGGTTATACTATATGTGTTAGTGGTTATGAGATATGTGGGTAATGGTTATGAGTAAAGTGGTGTCAAAGGGTGTTTGGTTATACTATATGTGTTAGTGGTTATGAGATATGTGGGTAATGGTTATGAGCAAAGTGGCGTCAAAGGGTATTTGGTTTTGCTATATGTGTTAGTGGTTATGAGATATGTGGGTAATGGTTATGAGCAAAGTGGTGTCAAAGGGTATTTGGTTATGTTATATTTGTTAGTGGTTATGAGATATGTGGGTAATGGTTATGAGCAAAGTAGTGTCACAGGGTGTGGTTATGCTATATGTATTTTTGGTTATGAGTTATGAGATATTGGTTATGTTACTGGTGGTTATGAGATATGTGATGTTGGTTATGACTCAAAGGGATTGGTTATGAGATGTGGTTATGATGTATGTGGGTAGTAGTTATGAGATGTG